GCCTCGAAAGGGACGCCGGGTGCAGCCCATGGAGCATGCCAGGAACTTCATGCTATTGGGTCCTCTCACCGACCCTTTGACCGACGAGGACACTGTCGTAGAGATGGGGAGTGGTTTACTGAGGGTCGCACAGTTTATACAACCCAAACCCATCCCTTTCATACTTGGGAAAGCTAATGCCTAGAGAACACTATTGACTTGTTCTGATTATCAAGCGATCAGTGGCCCAGACATCTTTCTTACTGCCCTGCCCTGTGGCTTTCAGTGCCGTAAGCCACTAGGAGAGAGGACAGCCTGAGATGTTGGGCCAGGGCCTCCAGAAATAGATGCTTCCACCTCACTGGAGACAAGTGGGAATGTTGTATTCCAGCCTGATGCAGCCCCAGTGTCTGCCACCAGCCAGCAGCTGGCCTGGAACAGCCCCCCCTCTCCCCACTGGTTTGCCGCACTGCTGAGTACAGCAGCTTTTTCAGGTGGTTGAACCACTGACAGCAGGCTCACAGCCTGGGGGGCTGGGCACAGCTGGTGTCCCCACTATAGCCTCTGCCCTCCTCTGTGCCCGTTCTTGGGGGGGGGTCTGGCTGAACCAGCAATCTTACTGGCCTGGGATCCCCAGAAATCTGCTGCCATTATCATCTCTGACCTCCACACACCCTTCTTCCTGAGCTCACCTAGTACACTCCACCTGGGCTCAAGGAAGATGCAGGAAGAAAAATTAAAGGCGTGGTGGCGCATGCTTTTAATTCCAGTACTCAGGAGGCAGAGACTAGACAGGTGGATCTCTGTGAGTTCAAGGTCAGCCTGGTCTACAGTGTGAGGTCCAGGGCAGTCAGAGCTGTTACACAGAGTAACCAGTCTTGGGGGGAACAAAAAAGAAGAAGAAGGAGAAGGAAAAGAAAAGCCGTGCGGTGGTGGGACATGCCTTTAATCCCAGCACTTGGGAGGCAGAGGCAGGCGGATCTCTGTGAGTTCGAGGCCAGCCTGGTCTACAAGAGCTAGGTCCAGGACAGGAACCAAAAAAGCTACGGAGAAACCCTGTCTCGAAAATCAAAAAA